ATAGATTATTTTTATTTTTATTTTTTATTACATCAATCTAAATTAATTGAATTATGCATTAATAATAATATGATACTTTGTAATTAGATAAGCTAGCTTTTAAGAAAATATTCTGCATTTTAAAAATATTATATAAGAATATAGTTTTGAAAAATATTAAAAAGCTTTAAATCATTTTATATATGGCTAAAAATAAAAAAAAAGGTACTATAAATAACAGTTTTCCAGATACTACATTGCAGATTCAAACACYCAGTTCTTATATTATAGAAATCTAAAACGATTAGTCATTATAAGTTTTTAATGTAAACACTAAACTTATTTTAATTAAAACTAAATCAATTCGTTTATATTATGTGTATAATGTGTACCTTCATTACATATTCATTTGATTAAAAACTAAAACTTATTAATTAGTTATAGTAATGTTTCAATGTACTTACTCGTGATACGTTAAAAATGATAATAGAAAAAATAGACAAGCCAATACATCTGCTCTTCCGACTATTCCCGTAACCTGAAACATTTTTAAACCAATGAGACACGTCTTGTGGAAACCCTAAACAAACCTAATATTTAATTACCATACTACATAAAACTCAAGTTAARCATTAAATATTATTCTATTTAAATTGTATGTAAAAATGAAATAATGTATGGGTTTTTTTTTTTTATAAGAGGTTTTGTAATCATAAAATATTTTCATAATATACTTAACTGTTTAATAAATTTGATGTAATTCTAATGTTTATGATTTTATCAAGGGAAAAGTTAAAATATCGATTTTACCATAACGTATTTTTACGTGCAAAAACAATATACTTTTGCTCATAAAAATATCAAAACATCGCTTATAAAACTTGTAGTTTTTCGGTGTAGATCGATGGTTAAATATGGGTTGYGGTACCTAAATATGTATAGCGCGTGTACTTACACCATTGAATAACAAAAATAATAACCAAAAGGTTAAGTCCCTTTGAACGAATCCGGCTGGTCGCATGTCATATACAATAATATTGTCGTAAGCACGCATGTTCTCAATAGATAATTTAGGCGTTAATCTCGAGTGAATGAAAACGGAAATATTCGAAACTAATTTCATGGGAGAACTTCATTRGTTAGGGGAAAACTCGTGCCGAAAAGTATGTYAATATTTTGAAATTAACTATACTGAGAAGTATTATACTTACTAACTAATAATATAAGGGYATATTGGAAAAATAGTTTATAACTAATACTCGTTAGAACTTTTAAGTCTAAACGAAAACCAGTGGACATTTTCATCGCTTAAGCACTCGTATATTAGGTACCTATATTATTTATAAAATATTTAAACATTGCCTCCTCTATAGAAAATCTAAGCTACTAACAGCAGCTTTTTTAAATATTAAATGTGTATACTAAATAATAAAACACACGACGTCACAGAAATTCCGTTATCAAATGTGTAATATAATAACATCATATTAAAAATAAAATCTCGTGTTGAAGGCTCCTTATTATAAGTTTTATTCGACACACCTAGATTTTGATTTATTAACTGCGACATGCATGCTTTTAAAAATTTAGTTCTATATGCCTACTATAATTGTTTATTCATACTGAATTATTGCTCAGTCATCATATAGGTATTGATCGGAAATCTTGATTGACATATGAAAATAAAATAGCCTTTATTAGTTATTTTAAGCAATATGTCCATGGAATTCGGTTTGCCTCTCATGGGCCGATTGGGTTCGGCTGTGATTTTTATAATTATTTTTATTGCAAATAATTTTCTCATACACCATTTAACATGTAATGTGTAAAACGTTAAGTAGGTACATACACTGTACCTACGCGATAATAATATTACACGCWGAGTACGTGGGAGACACGAAGACACGAAGACTACGTAAACTCTTTGCGAGGAAAGGAAAGTTAACCTAACTTAACTACGTGCCCCTGTCCCCAAAAGTGCACTACTTTGTTGACKATAGGGGAGCGTGACCGCAATAGTATAACGAGATTAAAGGTGATTCGAAGCAAACTCCTCCGCGCATGTACATATATTTTAGACCTTTGATCGTCGAGGGAAATTACACAGAACGGCAGAAAATTGATCTCAAGTCCGAGACAACGAAAATAAAATCGGCGGAAAAAAAGGAAACTCATTTTCACCGTGACATACGTGATTGGAAAGACGGAATGGTGAGRGTTTGCGCAATTAAAACGGTAAACGTCTCCAGGGCACCATTATTATTACGACTGTGGGTATATTATGTGAATCCATACATGTGCTTATACCACGACCACGGTGCTGCTCTGATCGTACTGCGACAACCCATAGAAAGAGATATATAACATTATTATTCCACGGAAATTTTGTCTACCGGCGTCGATTATTTCGTGTGTTGTTGTGTTTGTTCATCGAAGCCGCCGCCGCCAACGTACGTTCAAAATAATCTAACGTTGACAACGGCGACAAGTTTTAATTAAAATCACCCCTGGGGACTAAACGCGTAAAAGCTTCGCATGGCGATGACGGTGACTTTGGCCATTATATTATACACAAAGAGTTACTGCCCCGGAAATCCGCACACGTCGTAACAGATTAAAGCAAGTTCCCATCGACAGTTTTTCCGGACGACAAAATATCACGTGGGACTTAAATCTCTGATAGCTACTGCTGATACTAACACCGTCTGCAGAGTGGCCAAATGGCACAGTCGTATTAAATTTTGTTGGTAAAACTATTGGCCATCGATCAATAAGCAATAGAATTGTGCTTTAATCCCAAACCATCATTCACAAATTAATATTTTGTAAGGATATACAGTGCGTCCCGCGAGGATTTACCCATTCTGATATCTCACGAAATGATGGAGATATCAAAATTCTTGTTTTATAATAAGAACTACAATTATTTCATTTTTAAATTTATTTTAATGTTTATGTAAAAAAWTTAAAAAATATATTTTTTTATTCAATTATTTCCAAAAAAAATAATKATAGCCATTTTGTAGAGTTTATTTTTCTGAAAATATTGACGTTTCAAAATTTTATTTTCATTAATTTCCTGAAATTTAATATTTTTTTTAGTTTTGAAGAAATAAAATATGATTATAAATKTATAACTATTAGGAACACAGAATGTAAATCAGCCGGCCGTATGGGAATGCGCGCCGCGTGGTGAGTCACATGATTGRTAACATTATGGTGTTAAATAATTTGCAATTTTTCTTGAAATTAAAAATATATAAAATAACAGAAAATTAATGAAAATAAAATTTTGAAACGTCAATATTTTCAGAAAAATACACTCTACAAAATGGCTATCTTTAACTTTTTTGGAAGTAATTAAATATGAAAATACATTTTTTAACTTTTTTACCAAAACATTAAAATATGAAATAATTGTAGTTCTTATCCTTGTGAGTCTTATTACAAAACCAGAATTTCGATATCACCATTATTTTGGGAGATATCGCAATGGGTAAATCCTCACGGGACACCTGTATAGTTGATAAAAATATTAGAACTTAGTTGTGACACAATATTATAACTGTATTTGTAATAATACAATTAAATACGTCTTAAATATATATCTGCCCGAGATGGCAGAGGTACTCAGTAACCACCATACAACTCACATTAAATTATAGAAAACAATTCTGAAAATTCAGAAATATAAAACGAATTGAATGAATTATAAAAATTACTAACAACTATTTAAATTTAAAATACGCTTGAATAACTTTGATAATTGTTATTATATTAAGTTGTTTAGAATCAATTCATTAAATTATTTGGAAGAACATTCCAAATCGATCTTAAAATAAAAAAAGAAGTAAAATTTTGTATCCCATTTGTTCTATAAAAATAAATGATATACGTAATATTAGTTATATTATTATTTATTAAGTACCTAACATAATTATTAATCAGTCATGTTAACTGGAATCAACAGAAAATAAAAGTTATGAAATATAATAGGGTGAGAAAATAAACAATTATTCATGATGTATATGATAGTATGCAAGAGGAAAGAAAAAGTTTTCACGCATCGTCAAGATCCTTGAACATTAGTGATAAAAAAAGGAGTTGTCTAACCGAGGGTTTTCGGCCTTTCGTGAAACTTTTGGCCATTCATTGCTTTTTTTACACAAGGATGCAATAAAAAAAGGTATCAAAAAGTCAGCCAAGCGTCCCAGAAGTCGGATGTATATCATTTAAAACACTTTTTAGGTAGATTTTTTTACTATTATTATTATTATCATTATTTTTTTTGGTGTTGCACAAACTCCCTAATCAAATTTGTTGTTTTCTTCACACCACCACGTAATTTGCAAGCCTAATAACATTAAAGTGAATGTGAATATTTGAACATTTTCGATCACTGTTACACCCTTGCAATGTTTTTGAAATAACGATAAATCCTTAAATGTTTAAACGAAGATTTAGCTGTAGATATAAAGAAATAAACAGATTCAAGATTCCATAAACCCGTTCCATTCACGGCACGTAAATCTTCAAACCTTCGCCTCTCCACTTTAAATGTATTATTTTCGTTTTATTTTTTTTTTCTTGAACCACTTGTTAACCCTATTACTTTTTATGTTCTAAATTGTTAATTATTTATAGTATACTCTGTTACCACTGTTATATCATACTAAATGATCTCGACTAAATAGGAATTGCGTACCTACATACGAAACAGTAAATATTCACTTCAATGCGCAAATAGTATACGAAAATCAAACATATTTTGTTTTCTGATTCAACAATCTATAAAAGTTTGGTTTTAATTGGAGTACAATTATTTAGTATTTTTTAGATGAATGTAACTAGAAATAATAATATAAATTGTCACTATAATGGATATGTTAAATTTAAAGTAAATGGTATGTAATCATTGTACGCGAAAAACGATTCTGAACGAAGAAAATCTGTTAACATATACATATATTTCATATTTATCTACTAATAATACAATAGGACGTAATAAAATATTTTGAATGAATAATTATGTATAATAATTGATAATATTATGATGAAAAGTTTCAAGTATCTATGGAAAATATAGATAATAATAAGATAGTAATAAGTTTATACCATCATAGTACCTAGTAATGTGATCGGTTTTTTTTCTAATATCTTAAGTGAAAATCCAAAAGTTTTAACAGATCGAAACATTTTGAATGTTTCAAAATAYRATATCTAGCATAGAAAAAACGAAAATAYATTTTTGTTTTAAACCAATAGGGTACGTTCATCGCTCCACTCTTGATCTAAAAATATGATTTGATGTAAATTATATTATTATATGATATTTTCTACGCATAAAAACATTTTAAAATGCATTATTTTCGACTTAAATATATTCAATCTACTATACAGTATTATCAATTGTAAATTAAATTAATTTAATAGTGATATAAAAATATCATATAATATATACATTATTATATGGGCTATTGGGATTAGTATAATATACCAGATAGTCTTTACTCAAAATAGTTTTTCGATTATTCCACATAATGTAAATGATATTCGATGATTTACTTCTAACGATGATGTAACACATTCATGATAGTGATTTACTTCTCGATTAAGATGTATAGTCAACACATACAACTGTTTTGTATAGTGGTTAGCTACTTTACTATTATTTTTGTTTTTTTGTTTTGTTAACTCACCGCTTCTGTGTGAATCGGATGGACGGCGAAAACAATTCCAGCTAAAAGTCCATATTTATGTTTTAATCCAGCAACTGAAATGCACAGGCGGGCAAACAAAACACTACAAAAGCCATGAAGGATAACATTGACTACGTGAAACCACACAGGTTGAAGCCCGAATACGTAATGGTTCAATCTGTAACACAAAACACATATTCGTTGTATAAATAAACACAATTCATAGAACGTATTTTATCTAAATTATTGGCAGAACAGAAAATATTACAGCGAGGTATTACTAAGTATTAGTCAACTAAAATTTGAATAATATTGAGAATAAAGGTACATAGGTATATCAAGTTCATAGGTTTCGTGTAGCTTGTTGCACTTCAGAATATGGATCTCTTATAACTGTTCAAATGATGACAAAAAAATTGTATGCTCTTAAGTATTAATTATCTTATGTACTAATATATTGATAAATTACGTTTCAGTCTATTCAAAATAATAATAATTTCGACATACATTTACTTCACTATTACCAGATGTATAGAGATTTACTTTCAGGTCATTGTTAATTAAAAATTACAACTCATAAAGTAGATACACGCAGAAATGAATAAGGTATATTTTTAATTTTAATTTCTAYTTTTATCTTAAATATTGGAAAGAGACAATTTTAAATTTAGCTTAAATTTGTAACTTATCCTATATTATATTAAATTCTCACTAGAAAATAAACTTGAGAATTTCAAGTTAAAATTAATAATCACTTTTGATATAGAAATGTATTATGTATATTAAATAGAAATACTAAAATCTTTTCGTTTATGCAGTTATTAAATTACATATACAAACAATATGTTAAATTACTATTGTTATTTGTTTTTAAAATAAAATATATTCAATATTTTAGAGTGTTGTTTTGTATGAGATTAATTATTGAATTGTAAATAAGAATAAATAAGCGTAAGTACCTACTCAAATAATATATCTTTATATTAAGTTGGTAACATAATATTTTCACTTAAACATAKTGTGTTTATATTTAAATGGTTGTTTTTCTTTCTTCYATTTATAGTATGATTAAACGATAGTATGTACCTATTTATAACTGAGTATCCTTAGACAAAAGTGGGGCGATGTGATTGGTAGCAAGTGAAGCAAGTTGTCATTTATTTACTGAAATATATATAATATGTTATATAAAAAAAATCATCAGAGTTCGGTATAATTGTTATATAGTATAATCACAGAATTTTCATGGACGAGATTTTATAACGATATTTTTGTTTCTAGATTTTGTATAGAACATAAAAAAGTATATCCATACATTGCTACATCAATCTTTTTAAATATTAAGTAAGTAACTAAGACTAAAATAAACACACACGCTCACATCACGACGCCTCGACCGAGAGTGTCGCAAATGATTATTTATAATTGATTATTGACATAATTCAGAAATACATAACTTAATAACGTATCCTTCAAATAATCATAAAAATATATAATACTCGTATTTAAGTTTTATGATTATTGATCCAGTAGTAATTTCATCGAATGATGGAAGGGGGGATTTATGATGGGCTATTATAGAAGGGCTATCATTCCACCCAAATATATTATTCTTATTGTTCTAACTGATTCATTTTTAGTCATAGATTATACATAATATAAGAAAGATACTAGGTCTAGGTAAGTGAAAAATRCAATTTCAGTAATATCATAAAGTAAATCACGAAATAAATCAAAATTGTGATAAATTATGAAAATTGGAGCATTTGATAAATTATGACACTTTCATAAGATGCAAATACATCTGCCATTTTCTTTCCATTTGGACTGAATACTAATTCAATACAATCATACAAGATATGCATCTATGAAAAATCGTAAATAATCATTAAAATACATCTTTCTTATCTTTATTCATTAATTATCAATATTTGATATCATAAAAAAAATCAATAAATGTTGAATAACCAAACATGACTAGTTATTATCATTTATAAGTGTGGGAAAAAATTGCTGCTGTCTTTACCCGCTAAAGTAGAACCTTAGACAAATGGTTTCCAAAAAGTATTTATTTATTTTTTTTTTTTGATTAGAGAATATATCTGAACTCAAACCAGTAATATTTTTATGACATTTTTTGTGTACAAACTAGCTTTTTCTTTTATTTACGATATTCTTGAAAACTTCTAAAAAAAACAAAAGAAAACACACTCATTTGCAATCTGTGTTTAATTGYCAATCAAAATATCCAATTATTGTATACAAAGTTTCTATAACAATATTATTGTTTTTACAGTCTTAAAATATGAATGAATATGAAAAAATAATTTTTAAATTTCTATACTTTATGGCTCTAAACAATACAAGAAAGTCTTAAAAATAATATTATTTTTTTTTCAATTTAAATTGTTATTTCATAAAATAATAACACGGTAAATTTGTAAATAAGAAAACTTAGGTAAGTAAATGAAAACAATATCCGAGTTTATTCATAATTTATGCTAAAATATTATCTACACTAATATTATTTACATTTAAATTTAATTCTGCTAAGAATGTATTATTTGGTATGTATTATCTGGTAAGTATAATTTGTAATAATCTAATGACATTCTCTCGACTCTTAATTGGCAATTATAATTACCAAAGTTTCACGTCTTTATCATTGTGGTTACACTCCTGCTACGCATAATAATTTAGGTTACCTCTAGTAAGTCTTCTCGCAGGTTGTTTGTTATTACTGTTTAAATAGWTTTTAATAAAAATATGTCAAAAAAAAATTTAAAAAAAAAACATCATTTGATTTTAAATGTTCAATAATATGTTATGGACCACTGGGATTTTAAAATACTTGAAATACCTAAACATGTTTAAGAACTGAATAATTGATTTAGGATAGGCATACATATAACGARTTTTTTTATAATTTATCTCATAATTGTTAGGTAAATACTGTTAGCTTTTACTAAAGTATAAATAATTCTAATGAAAGAGGTTTTTATGTATATTTACGAGTACGGAGTATCTAGTGTGAAAGAATTATCACAAAATCGATGTTACAAACATGAATTTAATTATATTATAATATTAAAATCATATTGTTTATTGAAAAGTTAGCTTTTAAAAAAATTTTGAATTATAAACTGTATTATTTAAATTCTACAAAAAATAAATAAATAATAATAATAAATCAGAATTATTAAATAAATTAAACTGGTTTTAAATTTAAATATAATGCAAACAAAATTAACGATATAAATAATACAAATAATAAAGTAATATTTATTAGTGAAAGTATGAAGATAACGTGATGCAGATTAAATTATTTTAAATTAATTCAAAACATGGTAAGTAAGCTTACAGATTTGCCGCTGTCTTGTAAGKTAAGGGAGACTATTAGATTATTATTTTATAATACATATATCTAATATGTTTCTGTTATCATACATTGTCTGTGTACATTGTACGCAGTTCCACCATATTTATTTGTTTCTCTAATTAATTAATTACCAACATTTAAAACATCTGTTTTCAAAGTTCATCATATTTTGATACATGGGCGACATTTTACTGGCATTGCACTGACGTAGGTATTTTAATTAAACTTCCATGATATTTTCATAATTTAGTTTTTAATTGATAATATACTTAATTATTTAATTAATTAGCTGGTTTTTTTTTTCCGTTGGCCATAATCCAAACTATTTGGGAACGGATACTCGATAAGAACTGTTTGCTCGATTTGTGATGTAGGTCATKCCAAACTTTTTCAACTTATAATTAAAACTGAGAGATTATACCCCCTTTGGAAATAACTAAAACTGGGAGTTATTCTGAGAAGAGCTTATATAGCCTCGTGGAGATTTTATTCTGGCAAACGATTATCTACAAGTTAATTTAAATAAAGCCTACGCAAGGAATATAGATTGCAACAGTCCGAGTGCCTGAATTCCTATCCTGGTTTTTCTTTAATGAAGTCGCTTTAAAACTTTTCCCATCACGTCAACGAAGGAAAGTAATAGCGAGTAGCTACAATGCTGGTGTGATTAAAACACTGCGTAAATCGATTATTTAGTCAAACTATTTCTATCGTAGTTTAAGTTAATTCAAAACATATTCTATTGATATTGTGGTTTATAGAGGTAAATTAATACATTAAAAAACGCGCAATCGACATTTGATTAAGAAAATTGTTTTAAAAAAAATGCAGCGTCTTCCCGCACGTGTTAATGTGATCAATTATTTTAGCTAGGTTAGAGAATCATCTACTAAAACAGTGTGCTGCATAATATGAAATCGACATTCATTATTTTATTAACAAAAAAAGTGAAATGTTCTTCTATTCTTCATGAATATTTAAATCAAATAAAAGCCACATGCTTAATTTATATACCTTGATCGTTTATACAATTGAACTTA